CCACTGGTATGAATATGATGTACTCCTGAAAATATGAAGCTAATGAGCTGAAAACAAAAAGTTTTATTTGGTGGTAAGCAACTTCAAGATAACACCTAGAAGGGAAAGCTACAGTGTACTTTATTAAACGTTTATAACAAACTTGAGTTACTTGTTTGCTTGAAGGAAAATTGTGAGCAGAATTTTCTTGGAGGGCGAAAAAAGTGCAAGTTTCCCGTTCAGTGGAAGTTTTAGGGCGTCAAACAGGAATTCCAAAGGGTCTGAAAAAAACTTGGAAATTCCGGAGGGAAGGAGGGGTTAACGAATTTGGAATACAGAGGGTAAGGTGGGGGGTTAAAATGTGCATGCCGCCTGTGGTAGGGTATGGATATTTTCTGGAATCACCCATCCTGGACATGCATTTAATGTCCACATTTTTGTAGGGTTACAGGATGACTTTCCTTAAAATTGACAGATGTATGACAATATGGAAAACAGAAAATCAAACAAATAAACAGTGGAAAGAGAGATGCAAATTAACGTAGTGTAGTTGTTGATTAAGAACCGGCTTCTCCCAATTTATATGCATTCCTTGAGTGTTGTTTAAACTTGGTGGTGACAGAGTCTAAGATAATAACCAATCAAGTTCAGTATTTTGCTGATTGGTAGTTTGGATTAATTGCACATGCAGTGTGTGAATTCATTTGATGAATTTTCCAACCTAATTTGTGGGTCATCTTTTGTTTTGTTTTCCAGATGTCATCACAGTTGTAGAATCCAATCATCTCTAAGTACCTTAGCTCGATATCAAAATATCTTTATAGTGTTTTCTAAGGTACTATTTCATATTACTGGGACCTTAAAAAAACATTGTCTGAGTATATACAAATATATTGCACACAAGATTATGTTGCCAGTGACTAGTTCTTCACAAAACCAGGTCTAATGGAAAATGGATGTTATTTAGAGCTGAAGAGAGTTAAAACTCTTGAGATCATTTTACTGTTAACTGACCTGGATATAATTGTTGTACAAATGTATGTAGTCACTGGAAACACACATAAAATTGCAAGAAAACTGTGTGGGATAATTCAGGACAGTACCTGGTCCAAAAAGACAATACCTGGTCCAAAATATTAGAGCAATCTGATTGGCTGGTTTTAGATATTACTATTGATCCCAGACATCTGTTGAAGTGGCTTATTTTTGCTATGCTGTTGCACGCACCATTGTTTTCATTCATTCATTCACGTGGTTCAAAAAAGTGATCTTGTGATTGCAAATTCCATGATCATGTGGTGAGTGAATCTCTGCCATTGGGGAAGTTGCTCCATAGTTTGTTTGCAAGTTTGTTGAGTTTTGCACTCTCTAGCAAGATACAACCCAAGATATGTTACAGAGAAGAGTTCAGCAGATGCAAAATCCATCGCATGGATAAGATTTGCCTTGAACTCAGTACTTTTGAGGAATTTGCAACAGCTGTGCTGCAAACTGTGGCCATCTGCTCCAAGAGATGTTTTTCATCACGTGATGACCTTTTTTGAATCACACGAATGAAACCAACAGCACGTGGAATGGCCTTATAAAAAAAGCCATAATTTTCAACAGACATCTGGGATCAATAATGCATGTGGCACTCTGAGCAAAGTAGTCAGTTTACTCATGGAGTATCCTTACTAAGCGTGGCATTAAATGTAATTAGTGATTGCTTTCTTCTTTATTAGCATGTAATCAAGACCATGGCCAACTATAACAAAGATAGAGGAACACCTTATTATTGGCACGAGCAGTCAGTGCAAACCCCGACATTCATTGATCTTGATAAATACCTTCCCAAGCCTGAAGAAAGTGGTGTCTCGCCGTTCAACAGGCAGTACCCAAAGCCAATAACATCAATATTAATTAACCAAAAATCCAGCATTGATGCTCAGTTTAAGGGAAGGAAAAACAAGAACTTTAAAAGGACCACAGCAAGTAGCACAACCTCTGATGGTGATACACTCAAGGTGAATGTCACTCGTGAACAGAGAACTGTAAGTTTAAGCAGTGGGGAGGCACTTTACACTAAAAGTGAAAAAGACAGTAGGAGAAGACCAGCAAAACGTCGTCATCACTCTACTGCTACACCAGACCTTCAAGATGAAATAGAAGCAAAAAGAACTAAAAGAAATTATGGCACTCCCCAAGTACCACAACCTGCTAGATCATTGCAGTTCAACCTATTTGACACAGAACAACCTGTATTTACTCTGGAAACAGTGAGTATTTTGTCAAATTGTCCTACAGACTTGTACATTCATTGTGACTCTCAAACCAAGCTTTAACAGGGATGTACAGGAGCTAAGAAAGAACTTAGCAGGCTCACTTGCAAACTCTATCCTGTGCATCTTCAAAATTACCTGAAGACTTATTAGTCTTATTCTGAGACTTTTCACACACAAAATTGCACACTGTAGATGAACTTCAATCTTGTTCTCTGCAGTATTTTTGTAGTGGCCTTGAGGACACTTTTAAATGGTTTAAGCTTTGAATGAAGTTTTTTTTTTTCTTGAGCAAGAAACCCTACCTTTTACTTTACTCTGTTAATGCCTTTACTTGTACATGTATGACTATCCACCCAGGAGAATTCAAGAACTTACATATCGTCAGTTGCATTGTACATAGACATTTAGAATACTCAGCAGTGGACCAACATCCCGTCCAGTTTAAGTTCACAATTTGTTTAGTAACAGTCCTAGTCACTACAGCTGTACATTTAGTCTATGGACACCAGTGTTGAGCTTCAGTTTAGTATTCTAGCTAGCCTTGATAACAAAAGCACCCATTATTGCTCAACCACAATAACATTTTTTTACCTTTAGCTCACCAATGAGATACAAGAGGAATGTGTCAAGTGTGTGCAAACAATGGAAACATTACAGAAGAAGTTAAAGTTGCAGTCATTTCTAGAAAGGAGTTTGTCACCAGCTTTTCCAGGTACATGTACATTAGGTTACCATACTTCACATAAACATGTAGGCACATGTACCCAATCAGTTGTTATACACTATCATGGAATAAGATTTAAGGAAGGTCAGAAGTTACATTTTATTACTTTCCCTACCAGAGAAAGGGATTGACCCACAGAATGAACCTGCAAATGAACTACCTTAAGTACATGTATCACAGGACTTTTTGCGTCATGTTAATTTTGCAACTAAATTTTGCAATTAAAGTGACGTGAACAATAAGTGTCGCGAACATAACATGACGTGAAAATTACAGTGTAAGTGACTCACATTATGTTACTGTTAACATATAGTCCCGCCCTTGCATTTTTGTTAAGTCGATTTACTAAACTCAAGGACATGTTTAAGTAACATTGCCAAGGAAATAAATTGTGTGTTACTTGATTGTTACGAAATTTTACTCAATTTCGCAAAATCACAGAATTTAAGTGTCGCAAAATATGTGTGCCTCAAAATCGCAAAATAAATGGTCGCGAAAATTTCATGTAGTAAGGAAAAGTCGGTCTCTCTTCTTGTACATTTGTCTTCTTTCTGTAGCTTTATCCCTGTCTCAGAGGTCTCAGTGTTTTTGTTTGGAATTTTTTCATTGGACTGTGTTAAGTACTGCATTTCAAGTGAAGTAATTTGTATATGATGTGTTTTTGTTACTTTCCCATAGTTGGCGGATAAAGTCAGAGTTGTACATGTACAGTACTGTAATTATTTTTGTCATTATTTCAGGTTGTTCTCTACATCTCTGTGGCTCATCAAGCAATGGCTTTGGTCATGATTCAAGTGATGCAGATTTCTGTTGCATCGTGAATCATTTAAGACAGGTGTGATTATACAATTTATGTCTTGTGATATTACTGTTAAGCATGCATGCAGTTAACAAGTTGCTGTTTTACAGCCTGGTGTCTTTCTTTGTGTTATAGGGAAACAATAGACATTATGCCTTATCAGTTCTGCGGCAAATGCAGAGATTGCTCAACAGTGACCCTAATAACTGTAAGTACAATACCACTATTTTTTATCCCTTGAAGCAGGTTTTTGAAAACAGCACATTTATTTTGGGCAAACAAATTGTGTACTTCTTTTTTAAGTCCTGAAATTAGTGAAATTACTATGATTTTGATTGAAGTTTCAAACAGATTCTCCCAGACTGCCAGGTTATATTTTTTCATGAAATTCTGCAAAGTCCCTCTGGCCTGCTTTCACTTGAAACATGCACAAAGAATATCCAAATATATCTGCAATTGAATCTGCCCCTCAGTTTGGTAAGGATTGAAAGAATAACGAACAAACAAATGAATCAATAAAACTACTTAAAGAGGATGTTCAGAAGTAATCATGAATATGTATTTAAGATTATGACAACTTTATCTTTTAACAGCTTTCCTTAGTAAATGTTCAGTTATCCCTGCCACAGTGCCAATTTTGAAATTCAAGGATTCAATTAGGTGGGATGATGAGTATTATTATTAATAGTGCATTATTTTATGAGTTCATGTATAATTATGATTGTGTTGTTTAAGGCTAATTTACATAAAGCTATATTCATTTGCTTTCCCTTTCATAAAGTCAAAGGGAAAGAAGGGTTGCCACAATGGTGAGAGCACTTGCCTTCCACCAAGGTGGCCCAGGTTTTATTCTGTCATAAAAAAAAATTATTTAAGTTGTGTTTGTTGTTGGTTCTTGCCTTGCTCTGAGGGCTTTTCTTTGGGTGCTCTGGTTTTTCTCCCTCCTGAAAAACCAACATTGCAAATCAAAAATTCCAGAGTACCTGTTTTCATGGCTTACATGGTTCCCTCTCTCTCTCTCTCTCTCTCTCTCTCTCTCTCTCTCTCTCTCTCTCTCTCT